GTGGCGATAATAAAACTATCAACTATTATGTCTACAGATGTATATTAAAATTTACAAAGCTTATTGTAAACTTATATAAAAACAAATAGTACTTTATTATTGCAAAACTGTGTGCTGCTCTTGCTATAAGTCATAAGAACAAGTTCAGTGATTGTATTTGCATTCAAAATAACTGTTAGAATAATTTAAAGTAATTCATAATATAATTAATTCAATAAAATAAAAAAATTTAATAAACAATTCTTTAATATTATTCTTGTTATAGAAATGCAAGACATTTTTGATGCTTGTACTAGACTAAGCTAATTAAAGCTCATAGAGAAATAGGATATGGTTCGCAGTGAGGAATCCCTTTCATATCTGTAGTTAAAAAATAAGAGTTTTAGTTTAAGTGCATTTAATTTATAAAGTTTTTTAAATATAAACTGTTGATTATTATGTTGATATTTTCCATTAGCATTATGATAAATAAAACATTTTGCATTTTCCATTAGCATTATGATAAATAAAAATGTTGGTAAGTCCATACTAATTAGAACCTCTTAAAAATAGATGAAAAAAACCTGTAAGGATATAAAAAACCAAAATAGTTAAAAATGGCATCAGCTATGAAAATTTGAATTTTTGTGGATAAAGTGTTGAAATTAAATAGTTAAGTGTTAGCATTAGGTTTAAATATGGATATTGTAAAACTATGCCATACAAAAAATAAAATCTTTGTTATGTTAAAATAAAGATAATAAATATTGGTGCAGTTATTATAAAATAAATGTAACTCTGAAAGAAATATATAAAGTTATGTATGCGGTATAAAAAACAGTTATAAAAGTTTTTTTTTTTCAATTAAAGACAGACAGTGATTTAAAGTGTCAAAATTAAAACTCTTTAATTTTTTTAAGTTTCAAAATTTTGATAAATCAATTTTGAAAACTTAATTTTGTAAAATCAATTTTGAAACAATGTGCAATGCTACACCTTTTTTCTATTATCACCAATAATAACTACGAGAACTAAAGTATAACAAAGCAGGCAAAGTAACAATTTTTTTTTTAAGTTTTTATTAGTATAAATTTACTATTTAGTTTTAATCAAAATAGTTTAGCCCAAAGGCTTTTTTTTAAAACATTTTCTTTGGTATGAACACAAGTTGTCTAGGTAGTGAGGGATTCCTTTCATATTTGTAGCTAAAATATAAGAGCTTTTAAACACATCTTAAATTCTAAAAATTAGTTTTTTTCCAATAAAAAGTGAAACAGAAAGTTTAGAGAGTCAAGCCCCACATATGATAATTTTTAGATTCTAACACCAAGTTTATTATTTGCATATGAACTTTTAGTAAATTGTTTCAATAAAAAAAATTTACAAAACACTTCAACAATTCATCAATATTATAGAATTAAACTACTAAATATGTAATTTTAAATACAATTGAGTAATTACACGATAACAACTCAATCGAAATTATAAAATTTTTATTCTTGCAAAAATGTTTACTAGTAGAGTTATAAATGATAATCAATACCAGTGATTGTTTTTGCTATAAAATCACATGTTTAAATATAAACAAATTTGAAGCGGCGATAATAAAATTATCAATTATTATGTCTACAGATCTATATTAAAATTTACAAAGCTTATTGTAAACTTATATAAAAACAAATAGTACTTTATTATTGCAAAACTGTGTGCTGCTCTTGCTATAAGTCATATGAACAAGGTCAGTGATTGTATTTGCATTCAAAATAACTGTTAGAATAATTTAAAGTAATTCATAATAAAAGTAATTCAATAAAAAAAAAAAAAAAAAATTTAATAAACAATTCTTTAATATTATTCTTGTTATAGAAATGCAAAGCATTTTTATGCTTGTACTAGACTGAACTAATTAAAGCTTATAGAGATATATGTGGTTCGCAGTGAGGAATCCCTTTCATATCTGTAGTTAAAAAAATAAGAGTTTTTAAATAAACCTTAAATTCTAAAAATTAGTCTTTTTCCAATAAAAAGTGAAACAGAAAGTTTAGCTAGTCAAACCCCAAATAATATAATTTTCAGATTACTTAACACTGAGTTAATGATTTGCATATGAACATTTAATTGTTTTTTTTAATAAAAAATTTTAGGGTTCGGAAAATGTGTCTGCACAGACAAAATATGCGCATATCTGCACAGACGTCGGCGCCAACCTCTGTGCAGACACTTTAATGAAAACAAAAAACTTAAATTATCTGAATCAAATGTCTGAAATTATTTTTGTATAATTATCTACTTTTTACGAGTTTTTCATTACTTATCTGTTTCTTTTTGGTTCGAGCTAAATATAATCAATCAATATAAACTTTTGTAAGTGTTTCTAACTACAATTTAAAATCATTTAGAATCAAGAAATCATGTATTTCCATCAATCAAAATGTTTAAAATGAAAAACATCAAAATATCGAATTATTTGACAAATCTTGATCAAGAGAAGTGTTCTGGCACTTGTTTAACATGTAACAAAGCTGTTTAATGGTCGAAGGACCGCCTTACAGCGCATAAAAGATCAACATGTCCAAACGCCAGTATCGAGGAAAAAAGATTGTTTTCTAAGCGTAATTATGAATGGTCACATCTAATCAATGATTCTCAGCAACTTCCATCTACGTCTGATTCACCGACGCAGCATGTACATCCACCAATTAATGAAGAGCTCAAAAATGATATTGACACGAAGCTTGCTAATATCTTTTACTGTACGGGTATATCATTTCGTTTAGTTGAATCGGAGGCCTTTAAGGATTTTGTTAAGTTGCTCAATCCATTGTACGCATCTGTCATCCCGAATGTTAAAGCCTTATCAGTATCTCTGCTCAACAAACAATACACGAAATGTTCTACTTCTGTAAATGAAATTTTAAATTCTGAAACAAACTTAACACTGATGTCTGACGATTTGACAAACATAAGAGGCAATCACATAGTGAATTTTTGTATTAAAGCGCCTGATCAGAAGCCTTTTATTTACACCTCGATAAATACATCCGGAATCATTCAAAATTCATATGCAGTCTTCGCGGCGATCTTACATATTATTGAGAAGATTGGCTCATAAAAGCTTACCAATTTCATAAGTGACAACGCTCCTGTTATGAAATCAGCATGGAGGATCATCGAGGAGAAATATCTACACATTTCGGATAGTGGGTGCAGAGCTCATGGAGCCAACTTGCTTGTGAAGGACATTTTAGTTTCTACAACTAAAGCCACAAAAACTGTCAAAGATGCAGAGAAAATCGTCAAATATGTCAAAAATCATCACATCGTGAAAGCAAAGTTTGATGAAAGACAAATTGCAGCAAATAATTCTCTTTCATTGTCCTGTATCTACATGATGGTTAATTATTATAAATTAATGAGCAGCTATCAAAATACGTTCCAGCTGTCAAAATACGTTCCAGCTATCAAATTACGTTC